TTGAGTTGAGCAAATGATGCACATTACTTCGCAGCTGCAATCCATGCTGAGTTAAGTTTTTCCTGAATGTTGGATTAGTTGACTTTAGTGAGGCGATTTATTGCATAATTATTTCACTGACTTGTTAAAGCATCAAGTCAAGAGGCATTTTATTCCAAGCCTCATGTTTTTCTCTACCCTGCCTTTTGGGATGGATTTAGATTTTTTTTCTTTTTCACTCCTGTTGGATTGACATCTTAAGCAGGCTGCTGATTTGGTGCAAGAGCACGGTATCTTAAAAATGCAGCAGATAAGAGCAGGAGGGAATCCCTGAATGAAAATCAATGCTCTGTGCACGGACAAAGTCGAGAAAGGGAGCTAACTACCTCAGTTGTAGCTTCCTGTGCAGGAAGCTTTAATGGGTCAGGCTGACTTATTATTTTCCTGCACAGCTTGAGTGGAGATGAATCAGCGCTACAGCATGAATCTGAAAGTCTTTCAACGCTGTGTTTCTGCTGGTTCCAGTGGTTTTCACTTCCTTTAAATCTGTGTCAAAGAGGAAGGGGGTGTAGGGTTATCATCTGGAATTACCTTTCTCATTAAATACAGTCTGCGCTCGGCGTTTTGCATGCTCAGCCCTTTGTGATCCACAGTGCACGTTCACTTGCCCTTTGAAACAATCCCTGCTCTCTCTTCCTGATCGCTGCACAGCTGGGATGAAAAGCTTTCCTGCACTGAGATAATTTCATCTAAGGGTCAGTTCGCTCAAAAAAAAAAAAAAAAGCCATTCTACATTCATCAAACCTCTGAGAATAGCAGTAATTCATCCCTTAAAAAAATGCATAGTCCAGCCCTCTCAGAGCTGCAGGTGCTCTGATAAAAGTCTGCATCATATGTTTGGGAGGGAGCGATCAGCTGCGAGCTCCTTTGGCAGCGACTTCACACACGTTTGGCAGACGGCGCTCACGCTGCAACATAATCACTTGTTGTTTTCCGAGAGCATCCACCACAATTTCTGTCCTCACATCCAGCTTTCCACTGCAAGTCCAAATGTGTCTTAATGAAAGGCTATTAACATGTGTCACACCCAATTATGTTCAGCATCCTTGTCTCTAATTGCAATCTGCCCGGCAACACGACGCTGGGAGATGTTTCCCTTCATTTTTTACAGGCCTCCCACAGATTTTAGCACAGTTGCACAGATTTGGCTTCTCACACTGGAGAAGAATGATAAAGACTCAATCTGTGTATTTTTAGGTTCAATAAGAACATGCATCAAAGAATAAAAATCTTTCAGCAGCAGATTCAGTTGTTGGAAAATGAGGCCAATGTGCAAAGCCTGATTCAAAAACTGCTTTGGACTTCTGAGCTCAGTTTTTAGTTTTTATCCAATGTGCAAGAAAGGGCAAATTTGTCACCTAAACCGCACCTTTTGGCATGTGTTTAGGTCTGTGTACATTCAGGTTCAGGAAGCATTTCCCATGTGGCGAATACCATCATCAAAATGCCAAAACAAAAAGTATTTAACCAAAATCTACTGAGCTGCTTTTATTTTGAAAGTGTAATTAAATCAGCAGAAAGATTGTGGTATCACCATAGACTGCGTATAGAATGGACGCCGTCTGCCTCCTCGCTGGGTGAAGCCACCACGAAAACAGCACCCTCTGGTGACAGGCTGCGGTATAGGTCATAAACCCCGCCTCCTCCAGCAATCCCTATGGAGCTGTGGACAAACTTTACAAATTAATTACACAGAATATAAATGTTTCTCCCCCCTGGTTGTGATGTTGACATGTAGTTACTGTCAGACTGGTTTGTGCTCAAATCCTCTTTTTTCTGTGCAGCTCCATTTTTAAAAGTTAGTTGGGGGTTCATGTTTTCTATGATTGACATTTCATACAGCCTATGGGTGTACGAAGATTGCGTAGCTCACCCGGGGGATACGCTGTTTTAGCCGAGCGTCATCACAGTGACTCTCCTGCCGAATGCGTACAACGCTACTGCGCAAGTGGTGATTCCAGGAAGTGGAGAAAAACTCGGAAATAACGAGAGCAATTCGGCTTCAAATTCGTATCATGACGTGAGGCGGAGCCAAGCTGTCCATACAGTCTATGGGTATCACCATTTCACCTTTCAATACATGCACTGATATATTTTCGAGTTGATAGGGTGCATTCGGCTGGAGGTCAATGTGGCGGCGAGCCTTTCAATCAAGCTCTCATCTTGGCAGAAGAAAAGGTTTACTAAGTCAGGCTGCTTCTCTTAATTTGCACTTTGGTTGGGTGAGTAAACATGGAAGAGCTGAGAAGTGATTACACCGGCGAAAATGTGACAGAGGTCAAAACACTGCAAGATAACAGAACGCAAAAGACGTCCATTTAAAAGCAACCTGTTAAAGAAGTGCATCCATAGAAATTACATGACACAGAACATCCATGATATTGACAGACTGATCCTCAAAGACTCTTTTGATGTTGCATTGTGGGGCCGTCAAAAATGACAAATTGAGACCTCCTACTGAGGCACAAACATAACCTGAGCTACACATGAAGCCATACAAACCCCCCCTTTGTTTAGTCCAAATCTAACCGGGATCACTTTAGTATGTATGTTATGCAAATTTTCCAGAGTGCACATTTTTAGCGCAACATAAAAGCACACAGCAGCAACTTTTAGAGGAAAAACATCAGCAGCTTAGGAACATGAATGTAAATGTGGCCCCGCATGTAAAGCTGCAATCTCTTTGGGGGTTTAGAGAGAGGAAGCTCACATTATCATACTTCATACATCTCTGCAGGAAACTAGTCGAAACCTTTCGAGTTAGCTTAAAGGACTCCGGCGATGTAGGCAGAAATTCCCGACCATGTGTACAGTTTTTTATCTCTTTTGAAGCGCCTGAAGCATCTCTCTTACCAAAAATCATCATTTAACCTTCTGCTTACTGTGCTTCATATCTCTGAGTAGCAGTGTCTTTTGTGTCGTGGGAATTTCTTCAGTGGGGATACAAAAGGCAAGGAGCCACTGTGGAGACTAAAAAAGAAACTGTTAATTGGATTAGCAGTTAAAAGAAACGAACACAACGCCCTGAAAAAGAAAATATGACTGCAGCTTCTTATTGTAAATTCTATTGTAGTTTGCATATTTGCATATCAAGGCAGAATCCTAACGATTCATAAGTTTGATGTGGTTAAAACTGCTTCATTTTAACAGAATTACTATTTTCACATTACAGCAGCAGACCTCCGAATATCACAGGTTGTGTCTCTGTGCAACAGATAGATTCTCTGGCAAACACTGATGCTCCGAGCCATCTGGACCTTTGGACGGTGTCAGCTAGTCCAAATAAGAACCTGTACTGTGCTGCATTCACTGTGTTCGAGGTCAAATAAAGCTCTTTTTACACATAATATCAGGTTTAATATCGGAGTTTGTGCACTTTTTAATTTTATGTATGTGTGAAGTTTCTTCAATTTTACACCAAGCTCAGCACAAGTCTGTTCTTCAATGTTTATTCACTTCACACTGTCTAAACACCAAAACACAATTACATGGATTTTTACTTTGCACATGAATCTCATTCTGATTCTGATCCTTTGTAAAATATTGACTCGCTTATCAATCTGACTATTTAAAGTCGAACTTTCGCATGCTGCACTGGAATAGGTCCTCATAGTCCATGTTTAATTGAAGATTTAATTTTAGATATATTACCTCAAATCTGCCGAGGTTTTGTGCTCCTGCTTAAGTTGTCTGTGATCCATCTCAACATGTCAAAATAGGGCGGATCCTTCCTTTTTTCTCAGGTAAACAAACTGACTGGGGATAAACCCTGTATGCCTTCATTGTTGCACCGACTCCTGCAACACGAGTCAGTCAGTCAAGAAGAGGAGGAGGAGGAACGGGATCTAGAGGAAGCTGCAGGTTTTACTCTCCATGTTTAGAGTAACTTTGAAAATAAAGTAAACAACCAACAAATTCACAGACGTCTGCACAGCTCTGGGAACAGATTCCCCCATCATGAAATGAGAAAATTTCATTTCAGCAACAATGTCTTTGCTTGACTAGTTGAGATGAACAGTTTGTCTCCAAGGTGCAAATACACAATGACAAAACTTGAGTTAATAATTATCTAGTTTCAACAAATGGTCTGGTTTGAACAACGCACCCAAAATGAGGACACATCTTATTCAGAGCTGCTGTAATGTTGATGATCATGCAGAAGTGTTTAGGATGTAATTATGGAAATCTTCACTATTCAAGAGAAGCCGCCTGTGTGTGAATCTGTTTTAAAAGAAGCTCTTCGAAGTTTCTAGAGAAACTTTCTGAGCCTCTCCTCCTCTCATACGCCTCGCCTGTTGTAGCTTTCTTCCATGTGACATAAAGACCTGGGAACACAGTGCAAGTGCAACCTCGCCGACGCAGCAGCAGCTCTAAATAGCAGGCGTCACATTCCCGGAGGCTGCTCTGCCATCTGCATCTCAACGCCCACCAGGAGCAACACTCTCACTAACAAAGGTGGGGGTTAATTAATGTATCCCTCACTTGCAAACAGCAAACATATGCATTAATCATCTCATCTATATTTAATACTCAAAACGCTCTGCTGGTTTGTGATTCAGCTCGACTGCGAGGACTTCTCCCACCTTAAAGATGTGAACAGGAGAGTCAAAGTCGACCCTGAAAACTGCTGAATTATCTTCCTCTTTTCAGTGAAGCCACAGCCACATGGATAGACAGATGTGTTTCACTGCAGTGCTGCTCTGTTAAGCCAAGTTGGCAGTAACTAAAGGCCCCATGCGTCGCTTTCTGTCAGCTCATCCACCATCTTTCCCTCAGATATTTTGGGTGACCCCATCCAGAGACAGATGGAGCAGAGCAGGCTCCTTTGCTCCCTCCCTGGAGTGAGAACAACCAGCCAAATCCGCAGAAAACGTCCTCTGAAGTTGATTACAGTTTTTATTGCAGGGAACTCTGTCAGCTCTCAGACTGCTGACTCCCCCTTCACAACATATTGTCCTCTTTGACAGGAAGAGCTTTCACTCAGGTTTGTTCATGCAGGTGGTTGGAAACAGTCGGGTGAGACAGACTCTAAACATGTAAAACCGTAATAACTTTATTGAATTTACAGATGCTTTAGATTTTGGTTGATGTGACTGAGTTTATTTTTCAAGGTCTATGCAAACTAAAAGTGAAAGAAAGTGCAGGTTTTCTTCTAAAGCAGCTGAATTTACAATCAAAAGTTCACAGTGCAGCCAATCAAACTCACTTTGCAGTAGCGCAAAAATTAGTCGCTGGTCTTTTCACATCGTGCAACAAACAACCACAGTCTGATCTAAACATAGCTAAGTGGCATCAAACACCAACAGCAGTCCACTGTGAGCTATCTTGATGTTGTTGATATCAAACTTTATGAAGATTTTTCAAAATGAGAAATGATAACAATCAAAGTTCTCCACAATCACTGTCCTTAAAGCTGCGACCAAATCAGCATCTTTAGAAAAGAATCAAAAAGCTGAAATGAAGAACTAAACCCAGAGTTTTTGGTGAGACTGATCCACAAACATTTACAAACCAGAACATTTCAAGAGTTCAATGATATCAATACACGTTTTTGGTCTTATTGACTCAAAATTCTGTTTATTTCAGTTCAATAAACTCAGCAGAGGCTTCAGAGTTTACCCACAGTCCAGCATGCAGCGGCTGAGTGAATGTGGTCTGGACTCTGTGGAGGAGAGTCATGGTTTCAGAGACGCTGTAGAAGGACAGAATACCTGCTCTGTGATCCAGGTACACTCCTACTCTGGAGGACAGAGGACCCGAGACGGGACTGGAGACTTTGTTGTGCTTAAATTGATATTTGTCTTTATAACACTCCAACCTCCAAGATTTGTCGTTGTATCCAAATCTACAATCCTCTGAGTCCCCTACTCTCCTGATAGTCTTGTATGCGACTGTTACATAAACCCTGGTCCCTCTCCAGTCCACCTCCCAGTAACAACGTCCAGTCAGACTCTCTCTACTCAGGACCTGACAATAATAAGTGAATCTGTCCGGGTGATCAGGATAAGTCTGTGGTTTTTCTGTCCTTGTTGCTCTTCTGTTTCTATCAGATAATATCAGCCATCTGTTTACTGTGTTTGGATCCAGTGTGATTCTTTGCGAAAATCTTAAGAAATCAGCTCTGGTCTTGGGTTCTGGTTCTGGCAGTAAAACATCCACTTCAGTCACTGCCTGTGAGACATTTGTCCACATCTCTGTCAGAAGATCCTGGAGTTTCTCTCTGACCTCTGACACAGCTGCTGTCACCTCCTCAAAGTATCTCAGAGGACGGATGTTGATCCTGGATGAGTCTGCAGGTTGACCCGGTCCTGACAGTGAGGGGTAGCTGTGCAGAAACTGGTTGTGGTCCTCTGTGAGTGAGAGCTTCTGCAGATCAGCGTCTTTCCTCTTCAGCTCAGTGATCTCCTGCTCCATCTTCTCCTGAAGCTCTTTGACTCGACTCACTTCACGTTCCTGCTGGGATCTGACCTGCTGCTCCACGTCAGAGCGGCGTTTCTCCATGAGACGGATCAGCTGGCTGAAGATCTCCTGGCTGAAGATCTCCTGGCTGTGCTCCACAGCTTTATCAGCAGAGCCGTTGATAGCCTCCACCTCCTGTTGGAGCAGCTTCACATCTTCTTCTCTGTCCTGGATTCTCTGCTGGATGTTTTCTCGACTCTCCTCCAGATCTTTCTGCCTCTCAGTCCTTTCTGCTGCAGCTGAGACTGTGTCGTGACCTTTGTGTTGGTCCAAACAGCAGAGATGACAGATAGACTGTTGATCAGTGCGGCAGAAGATCTTCATCACCTCATCGTGAAGAGAGCAGATGTTCTTGTGAAGGTTCTTGGAGGGCTCCACCAGCTTGTGTTTTGCATAGGCAGGAGATTGATAATGATGCTGGAGGTGTTTTTCACAAAATGAGATCAAACAGACCAGACAGGACTTGACAGCTTTCAGTTTTCTCCCACTGCAGATGTCACAGGCCACATCTTCAGGTCCAGCTTCAGAGGGATCATCAGGAGCAGCTTGGAATCCGCTCTTCTTCAGTTCCTCCACCAAACCTGCTAACAGGGTGCTTTTCATCAGGACAGGCCTCGGTGTGTAGGTCTGTCTGCACTGAGGACAGCTGTAGATCTTCTTCTCATCCTCTTTATCCCAGTAGGTTTGAATACAGCTCATGCAGAAGCTGTGTCCACAGGAAACAGTCACCGGATCCTTCAGAAGATCCAAACAGATGGAACAAGAGAAAGACTCACGGTCCAGCTGAACTCCTCTCTGCGCCATTTCAACACTTTCTGTCGACAACTGACTGAGTTTCTTTTTCTTGAGAAGTGAAACTAGTCTGAGCTCTGATCTCAACAACATGTGTGAGTCAGCAGGATCAGCTCAGCACACGTAGGTTACAGCCACCTCAAACTGTAGATCTGAAGGGGAGGGGACAAGGAAGTGAGTGTGCAGAGTGGAGAGTGCTGTGTGAGAGAGGAGGGAGGGGAAATCGAGCTTTACTACATTCCAGGAAGAGGAGGAGCGATCTGAACTTTAGACTCTCAAACTCTGACAAGCAGAAATTATTAAAGCTGCAGCGGTCCTGAAGATCAACTGAACCAACATTTATTCCCCTCATATAAACCTCATCGATCACAGAAACACTTCCACTGTTTTATCCTCATATCCACACATATTTAAACATACACCACATATAAACACTCACTCCACATATGAGAGAGACAGAGACAGAGAGCTGCTGACTGTTAGAATTGCTGCCTAAAAGTGAAACTCTGTGCTGAGACTTAATAAATGATCCACAGAGCAATATTTCTGCTGCATATATCAACATGTAAATAGTCTACAAATATCACTGTTGTCACGAGCCAGGGTTAAACAAAAGAAAAGGACCCAAATGCAGAACAAAGTATTTATTTAAAAAGAACTAAATGAGGAAACAACAAAAACTTTCTTTAAAATGGTCGACTAAAAAATCCAAAGGCAGAATCGAACAAAAGGCAGGGAGGAAAAAAAAACACAAGGAGACGAAGGATTCACACACAGAGGAGGACAGTGAACAAGCAGACAGTGTGTTTATATGTGGTGTATGTGGAGTTTATACAAAAGTTCCTGACCGGCCGAACTGATGTGGTCTCGAGACCCATTACAAGCAGTATTTTACAGAGCGTGGACAGACCCAGACTGGATTATCTCCTGTTTTTAATCGGCCCTGACTGTCTGAACATCTTTAACCTGTTTGCCTTTTACCAGAGCCTTTCTAAAACCTGGAGACTGGAGCCCACTTTGTCCCGACACTGGCTGCTGGAGGAACCTCTGATTCATGGGGCCCGGATGGATATTCAGGACAGATCTTGACCAGGACAGACAAAACTGTTTCTTTATGTGAGGAGAAAAGGCAGCTGAGTTAAGAGGTGACTGAGATGTTTGTGTCGAAGGTGAGAGCCAGAGTGCAGGTGGACTTAAGCTTCTCCAAGACTGTGTCTGATGTGGTTTTACAGAGACATCATCTTCTCTGTTCAGGAGGAGAAACTGGTTTTCAGCCTTTGTTTCAATATTTAGAAAAGTTCACCTGATACTCAGTGTTCATTGTTTTTTTTTCTCTTTCCTCTGTAAATATTTATAACTAACTGTGAATAAAGTTTGTCTTTAAAATCAAAATCTCTAGTTTTTTTTATATCTTAAGTTTGGACTGACAGAAATGAGAGAAAGAGACACACAACCTCTCAGCGGTCTTTTCCCTCTCCTTTACAGAAAACCTGATCCAGCTGCAGGACTCACATCTGGGACCTGGAACACCTGTGAGTGAACACATGATGGAAGTCCTGCAGACCACATGAATCCATGACCCAGACGGACCGGTAACATGACATCCAACAGAAACAGACCAAATAAAGAAAAACAGGCGAGGTGTTTTCAGTGACTCAGTTTGATGATTTTTATTGTTTTCACCCACAATCAGAGACTTGACCACAATCTGAGCTGAGTCAGAAACATAAAAACAGTCGGACTAATGAATGTGATTATTATGAGAGTGATAGAAAAGCTCATAACAACATGTAGATCTGACAAAAGTCTCATTATAGATGTCTTTACAAACACACTGATCCAACAGAAGCAGACAGAAATATCCATCGATCACATGAACACAAATATTCAGCAAACAGAGAAAGAAACAGATCATCTGAAGAGTTTTTGGGGACGACTGGAAAGACTTTAGACGGTTGGATTTGGGACAGGAAATAAGGTCGTCCTTTTTCATCTTTCTGTTATTTTGACGTCACTTTTTTCTTAAGTCTCAGACCTTCAAAATCTGCACCAACTGAAGGTGATTTGAACAAATGATCATCTTGATGTTGTTGATATCAAACTTTATGAAGATTTTTCAAAATGAGAAATGAAAACAATCAAAGTTCTCCACAATCACTGTCCTTAAAGCTGCGACCAAATCAGCATCTTTAGAAAAGAATCAAAAAGCTGAAATGAAGAACTAAACCCAGAGTTTTTGGTGAGACTGATCCACAAACATTTACAAACCAGAACATTTCAAGAGTTCAATGACCTCATTACATGTTTTTGGTCTGATTGACTCAATATTCTGTGTATTTTACATCAATAAAATCAGCAGAAGCTCTAGTGCCTATACCCAGTCCAGCATGTAGTGGTTCAGTGAATGTGGTCTGGACTCTGTGGAGGAGAGTCATGGTTTTAGAGACGCTGTAGAAGGACAGAATACCTGCTCTGTGATCCAGGTACACTCCTACTCTGGAGGACCATGGACCTGATACATAAGTGACGACTTTGTTGTGTATAAATTCATAGCGGTAGTCATAAAAATTTAACCTCCAAGATTTTTCATTGTATCCAAATCTCCAATCCTCTGATCTCCCTGCTCTGCTGATAGTCTTGTATGCGACTGCTACAACAACATCATTCTCTCTCCGCTCCACCTCCCAGTAAGAACGTCCAGTCAGACTCTCTCTACTCAGGGCCTGATTGCAACTAGTGAATCTGTCCGGGTGTTCAGGGTAATACTCTTGGTGTTGTTTCCATGTTGCTCTTCTGTTTCCATCAGATAATACCATATGTCTGTATGCTGAGTTTGGATCCAGTGTGATTCTTTGTGAATATCTTATGAAACCAGCTCTGGTCTTGGGTTCTGGTTGTGTTGGTTCTGACAGTAAAACATCCACTTCAGTCACTGCCTGTGAGACGTATGTCCATGTCTCTGTCAGAAGATCCCAGAGTTTATCACTGACCTCTGACACAGTTACTGTCACCTCCTCAAAGTATCTCAGAGGACGGATGTTGATCCTGGATGAATCTGCAGGTTGACCTGGTTCTGACAGTGAGGGGTAGCTGTGCAGAAACTGAATGTGGTCCTCTGTGAGTGAGAGCTTCTGCAGATCAGCGTCTTTCCTCTTCAGCTCAGTGATCTCCTGCTCCAGCTTGTCCTGAAGCTCTTTGACTCGACTCACTTCACGTTCCTGCTGGGATCTGACCTGCTGCTCCACGTCAGAGCGGCGTTTCTCCATCAGACGGATCAGCTGGCTGAAGATGTCCTGGCTGTGCTCCACAGCTTTATCAGCAGAGCCGTTGATAGCCTCCACCTCCTGTTGGAGCAGCTTCACATCTGCTTCTCTGTTCTGGATTCTCTGCTGGATGTTTTCTCGACTCTCCTCCAGATCTTTCTGCCTCTTAGTCCTTTCTGCTGCAGCTGAGACTGTGTCGTGACCTTTGTGTTGTTCCAAAGAGCAGAGGTAACAGATAGACTGTTGATCAGTGCGGCAGAAGATCTTCATCACCTCATCATGACAAGAGCAGATGTTCTCCTGGAGCTTCTTGGAGGGCTCCTCCAGCTTGTGTTTCTTAAATGTACGTGATTCAAAATGAGGCTGGAGGTGAATCTGGCAGTAAGAAGCCAAACAGACCAGACAGGACTTGACAGCTTTCCGTTTTCTCCCACTGCAGACGTCACAGGCCACATCTTCAGGTCCAGCATCAGAGGGATCATCAGGAGCAGCTTGGAGTCCACTCTTCTTCAGTTCCTCCACCAAACCTGCTAACAGGGTGCTTTTCATCAGGACAGGCCTCGGTGTGAAGGTCTGTCTGCACTGAGGACAGCTGTAGATCATCTTCTCATCCTCAGTATCCCAGTAGGTTTGAATACAGCTCATGCAGAAGCTGTGTCCACAGGAAATAGTCGTCGGATCCTTCAGAAGATCCAAACAGATGGAACAAGAGAAAGATTCACGGTCCAGCTGAACTCCTTTCTGCGCCATTTCAACACTCGCTGTCGACGAGGACTGACTGAGTTTGATTTCCTGAGAAGTCAAACTAGTCTGAGCTCTGATCTGAGGAGGAGAAATCCAGTTTTTCTACAATCCAGGAAGAGGTGCGGCGATGTGAACTTAAAGCCTCTGTCTCCACATTACCACGCCCATGTCTCTGGTCACAGATCAGTGGCATTTTACAAACTCCAGAACAGTACACTACAGTTTCTCCCTGACTGTCTAATTAGCCTGGTCTGTTTGGTAACACCTCAAACTTAAAGTATTTTTTATCACTGTTTTTCTGTTCGACTCAAACAGATACCTTCAGTCTTGAGAAATGATGCAGAGGTGCTAAAATCTGCAGTCCCATTAATGTCCACTAGAAGCTGACTGCAAAAGCACAAAAGGGCCACATACACACCCATTAAAAAAAAAACATATTTACAGCAAAACCTGATCAAAATATGGTTTTGGTCTAAATAGCTTTTTCTCTATTTGCTCACTGACAGATGGACACACTCTAACTGTTATTGAGGAAACTACAGCACTCAGCATTTTCAATATGGCGACCGCTATCAATATGCCTCAAGGTTTGGCTTCTGCAACCCTAACATGACAGAGGCTTTGTCCATATTTAATACAGTCTATTGTTTGACACAAAGGAAATAATACCTTGTGAAATGCGTCGATGAAAAGTGCAATGATGTTATTTTTCCATCAAGGCAGCAGCAGAGACGTGCTCTGGGACTCCCCAGTGTGCGACGCACTTGGCAGTGTATGAGTCAAGCTTGTTGCAATAGCAGTGTGCAAAAATAACAACATGCAATAATGATTATAGGCAATAATGATGTCCACCAATAACAACGATACTAACAATTAGTAAAACAACGCAGTAATGCCATAATACCATGTGTAGAAACAGCCGTGAAAGATCTCAGGGAACATATACCAAGGGTTTCACAAGAAGAGGTAACACTCAGAGCCGGATTAACCATGAGGCATAGTGAGGCTGATGCCTCAGAGCGTTTGGCTATGGGGGGCCACTCAGCCCGAGCAGAAGCCGCTATGACGCTGATGAGCTGCGCCCGGAGTGAGGAGGATTAGGCTGTATTGGGACAGAGGAAAAAGTGCCTAGAAAGTGAATCTCGTTCCACTTCAGTGGGGCAACATAAACTGTGATTCATAAAATAGCTCTATTGATAGTTAGTACTAAAAAAAAATATCTACTCATGCCATCCTGTCGATTTTTAGTAATCAGTGTTTCGGTGTCGAACTATTTCCTTTCTGCGGCGCAGTGATACTTGCACACGCGCAATCGAATATGCAGAGGGGTGAAGCGATTTTTGTCACGTGGACCAATAGGAGCCGAGTCTCGTTGCCATAGTATCAGAAATACACAAACATGGCGACGAGCGCGTCTACCAGCGAGACAAGCGAGGAGGAAGAAAAGAAAAGGAACAAAAGAAAACAGCCTTCAAAAGTGCATCAAAAAGGAACGAAACGATGCTATATGCATCTATCATCTGTCCAGAGTGAAGACGTTCTCGACTTTACGAGGACACGTTGGGAAACTTACAGAACTAGTATTAGAAAGTGGCTTTCTCTACAGGGTGAGACAAAAGACCAGCCAGAAATGTACATATATGTGAGTAACACAAAAAACGATTATATGGTACTGCTGTTTTTGCTTGTAGAAACTGCTATGTTGATTCTGGCAAAACAAAATCTTTCTCAAATGTCATAAATACATCTACCTAACATCTGAAACAGTTATTGGTGCCTTAGTATACGCATAAGTGAATTCAGATTATGAAATGTAGCAAATTTCTTGAAGAAAACGTCTCAACTCAAGTGATTTGCAGCCAGCACAATGAAATATATACAGTATATTTAGCTAAAAGCTTATGTTTCATACATAAAAATGACACAACCTACTGTGTAATAAAAGCAATAAAATATAAACAGCACATCATGGCCCTAAATGGCTGAAAGTCAGTCAAATTGCTACCACGCTCCCCAAAATTGGAATAATGGAAAAAATGTAACAAGACAAAAATAAATGCACAAAAGGACTGAATTAATTCAAAATATAGTATAAAACATTTATTCAAGTATCACAGTGTCAAAACCTCTGACATTTATCAGTCCCTACAGAATATGAAAATAAAGATCAAAACACAAACGCAGACAAATGTAGAACAAATATAAAAATAATAAAAATCTCAGTGTAGCAATCCTTTAAAAAACAAATTGTATAACCATAACAGGCCTTCATATCACGCCTTGCACTTTTATTTATAATGCTTGCTATATACTTATAATTTAAAATGCCTGAGGTTTTCTACAGTAAAAAAGTGAACTGTACACCAGCCTCTGTGCTTTCCTTGAAGACTTTTTCACTACCTCTTGTTGAATTGAGTTCAGACACACAGTTGTATTAACCCAGTGGTTTGGCTAGAGGTGGTGGCTAGTGGAACCATTGAATAACCACCCATAACTGCAGTAATTTCCACAAAATGACCAATAAAAACTGCCAATTTTTTGCGCGCGCGGGACAGAGGGGGGCCATTGGGTTTGCTTAGCCTCAGGGGCCACAGAAGGTTTAATCCGGGCCTGGTAACACTAGGTGTATTTGTGTGTTCTCTTGCTGTGTTTAGGAATAAGTATGAGGATGAGAGTAAGGAAAAAAATCACAGTCTTCAGTTCATCGTTGATGCCTCTTGTCTCTTGATTATAATATCCACATGCAGCGCAGCAGAACACACGTCTTAATTACAGCTTCAGCTCCTACAGGTGCATTACATGACAGAGCGAAAGGTCACAGCTGCTTCACACAATCTCTCAAAGCCTGTATTTATCTTGTCATATAATCGTCTCAGTGCTTCTCATGTCAAAATAATAGCAGCATTGTTCTGCTCCAGTAGATCTGAATGTGATCGCTAAACTGCGTGACCCCAGCGTTTCATGCAACTGCAATCGCACACACTCCACCTTTCGTGCTCTTTTTCATGCTTTGCTGTAATTGCTGCTCTCACATGAGTACAGGACCGAACTCAGAGATTTTAACGTGCAGGCGTCATGATTGTCACAGAGTAGGATGATTGTCTTCTGTCAGGCTAATCCAACATATTTAATTTGACTGAACTGCAGCTCTGAGCAGTGTTGGCTAAAAGTGGACTTTTAACTTTAAATGGAGCTGCACAGAAAAAAAGAGGACTTGAGCACAATCCAGTCTTACAGTAACTACATGTCAACATCGCAACCAGAGAGGAGAAAAATTTATATTCCTTTTATTAAGTTTGTCCACAGCTCCATAGGGATTGCTGGAGGAGGCGGGATTTATGACCTATACTGCAGCCCGTCACCAGAGGGTGCTGTTCTCGTGGAAGCTTCTTTCCCATGAATTAGAAACCACCAATAGAAATAGGACACTTTGTAAACTTTTTTAAAATTGCTATATAAATAAATAAAATGATTATTATTATTATTATTACTTTGTATGCTACAGTTTTTCAGGCCGAGTCTTCGATGTTATTCATCTTTGAGAAATGTTGACCCATTTTTGCATGTTTTTGGTCATGGTGGCGATCACACAGACATGAATGTACACCTTTACTCAAACGACAGACTACACAATGAAACCCAGCTAATCATCAATCATCGAGGCGGAGAGGCTGGACTAGTCAGGATAGAGACCATTAGGTTTCACCCTGGATAAAAAATAATAATGAAAGTAATGTGTTGTGTATTTGCAGATGAAATGCTTCTGGCAGTTGTCATTAACTGAGAAAAGATTGTATGTATAACCATCCTCAGTAAAATGGGTGAATGTTAATAAAAACCCCAGGAGTCTTTCTTCACCCAGCACTTCCTAATGGTTTCATGCTGAAAACCATAATGCAGAGAAACTCTCCCAGTTCAGGCCTGAGCTTCTTGTTATATCTGCCGTCAAAGAGGAAACATTAAGAGGATTTAAGGATTATTTTCAGTACACGCGGTGACACCAGTCTTTTACATATGATTTAAGGTTGGCGGAAATACATCACGTTTAGTCATAATTGCCTGGAAAGTCAACGCAGCGCATGTGAGTCTCTATCTCAGAAAAACACCATTAATTCACGACGCTCACTCCCCGAGGATTTCGGTGTGGGGAGCCGACTGCCTGCAAATGAGACGCACCGAGCTGATCACAGTTCGCTGGGAGCCTGTGTATTCTTTTGTTTCTGCAGACTACAGAAGGTTTATGTCACATGCAGGTTTATTTTTTGCACCATATTATTTTCTATTTTGCATTTTATTTTACCTCAGGTCCCTGTAATCACACGTGGAGGCTGCTGCTCTTAATCTGTCCTGCTGCTGTTTGCCTCAGCGCAGCCTTAAAAACTCCCAAATAATGAGATATTCTTTGTTTTCTACATTTTGCACTTTAATTTTTTTTTTTTTTATCGTTCCCTGACAAACTAAAACAAATTGTGCTACACAGAATAAACTGCAGGGTGACCATTTCCTCAAATCCCCAGACCAGACCAAGTGCTCTGCAAAATTCATGAATGCATGCATGTGCTCATGCATATCTCAGCAGGATTGTGAGGATGAATCTTCATGACAAAGAATCTCATACTTGATGTACTGGATGATGAAACACTGGTGAAGATTGTCTCGAATGATGGAAACCATATCCAGAGGCAATTTTCGTCAGTACAAAAGCCTTCATAGATATTATTACACTCTAACAGGGCTACAGGTGGGTTTTGGTGGAACCTTTTCAAGGGATCTCTTGGAGCTTCCAGACCATGCAAGCCAATGAGAAGAGTGAAAGACAAAGCATGGTCTAAGCTTCTGTGTCGGACCACAGCTACA